TGGGTTGTTTCCATTATGGGTGGTAGGAATCATTATACTGAAGACCAATTATTAAAGAAAGCAGCGCCTGGTCTTTTCTCCTATATCTACTTTGGGCATAAGAAACCCTTCTGTTGGTGCATATCAGAGGTTTTACAATATTTGGTATTAATAATGTGGAAGCAAGCATGTCAGGGTATATGCCTAGTAACCTAAAATTGATGTCAGGAATTTTAATCTGGTTTTTAGAATTTGGTCAGTTAATCGATTGTCGACCTTGAGAGTAGTGATTAGTGGTGCTCATTCAGAATGGATATATGCACTAATTGTTTGAATATTGGGGTTTTTTGCATGTATACTCCTTAAATCATCCAGATTTGCAAAATTACTCCCCAAATCAAAACATTGAAATTTTATAACCCGACTTAACGTTTTGATGGAATATTCCAATAATATTCCTTTTTCCATTTAATCAAATGTAATTAGTTAATTGATGACAATAATACCCCCGATATATTAGTTAAACCTAAATTTGTAATTCCTACATTATTAACTCCTTCCCAACATCTCCTTCCGCAGCACTTATTTTTCCCTAACATTTCGCCCTGTTACTTCACTTCTCCAAAATTTGTGGTGTTTCAAATTGCTGGTCCAACTTGAGGAAGGATGAGGAAAAAGAGGAGGTTAAATGGGGCAAAAATGTTCTTTTTTGTTCCTGATTTTTCATAGTTATATTCTCCTCTATGTTCGTGACCTCGACAATATCCTTTGAGGAGAATGACGTCTCATGGCTGGTCAAGTCGACAAACATGGAGGCAGCAAGTCCTTTGTCTTTGTATATGTTTACTTCGCAGGGGTGTCCACAGCATTTCTTCTAGGGAGCTTCATGTTGATGGATGCGCTTATCCATGAAAGAAGGCAACCTTGATACAAGTTTCTTTTCTTTATATTATGAATCAATTGGATCCCTGCACCAAGGGATCTTTTTTTTCCGAAGACATGGATCTTGTTCAAAAAATTGCAACCATTCCCAAAATCAACAACCCACGCTCTCACTAATTAATCTAATCTGGAATCGAAACCCTAAAATTTCATCACTTTATCCCATTTCCGTCGAAATTCAGATTAATTTTGTGGGGAAATGCAATGGGTAGCATGAAGGACATTATTCTTATTTATTGGAAATAAAGAGGGGTAATTAAGCCATTTCAACTCCCAACCATTTGAAATTGAGATTAATTTTCGTGAGGAAATGCAATTGGTAGCATGAAGGACATCATTCTTTTTTATTGGAAATAAAGATAAGGGTGACTAAGACATTTCAACTCCCAACCATTTGAAAATTGATGGTGTTAAGTGGGAGGGGTAGAAATTTTCAATGTTGAGGATTTGGAGGGTAATTTTGCAAATAGGGAAGATGTAAGGGGTAACTCAATGTTCATATTTGGTTAAATAAAAAAAAGAACCTGGATTTTAATCTAGTATATGAGCCGCATACAAGGCAGACATTGGCGAATAGGACTAAAACATGCAGAGAGAAAATGGACTAGGCCTGAAAACATTAATATGAGGAGCACCTTAGCTTGACTTGACTTTGATGTAGAAAATGCATTCATGCAATGCTCAATATAATCGTATATGCATTCAACATATTCTGTAATTTACATTTGCATTTTGATATTCCTCTATGGTTTAGCATAATAGTTCTAGCTATACTCTAAATGGGTGGATGTGAGATATCCATATTTGTCAGAAAGTGAATAGGGAGTCCGATATGAGCCTATAACCAACTTCAGTTCAATTGTATGTAACTTTAATGTATTAGTGCTTACTTGTCGATAACACTTGTGCAGGCCAAAGAACTTGATGCAAACTCTGACTACTACATTGAACTGGTAGCTAAAGGCACAGGAAAATCTAAGGAAGAAATTGCAAAAGACATCCAGCGCCCCAAGTATTTCCAGGCACAAGAAGCTATTGACTATGGACTAGCAGATAAAATCATCACTCCGCAAGACACAGCGTTCGAGAAACGGGTAAATATTTCCATAAACCCTTGAATGCTTGAAATTAATGCAATTGCAAATGGACTATTTCTTTATTGGTCGGTTTAATCTCTTCCAGAATTATGATGAGTTGCTGGCACAATCAAAAGCCATGAGGGCAAGAGCTGCAGGTGGTCCTCAAGCTGCTCCACCCTCTTCGAGATAGGTATGGGTTCAAGCTCCGCATCCAATCCACTGGATCAACTGACTTATTCTGTGATAAAAGTAGTGTTTCTCTATATTGATCCAAGAGCAACACCAACTTTCGCTCGGTTCCTGGCCATTCCTTTGAAAATCAGGCTGTTATTGCTTTTGAACTCTGGTGATCCTAAGAAATGAGCAGGATTCTGAAGCATGAAGGATGAAAAAGGAAACTAACTGTTGCACAGAGAGCTTGTATTTGTACTTAAATTGTATCCTTTAAACAAAGTCTGTATAGTATCAGCACATCCGATACGGAGGCCTGTTTGGTTTGATTTGGCTCCTCTCTTATTTACGTATCAGCTCTATTTGATTTTGTTACGTTAGAGATTCAAGAGTCAATGAATGTAGGCTTGTAATTTATCATTTATTATGATGTGTTATTTACAGCATGAATTTGAACACATGTACACTTATGCTACAGTGCAGCATGCTGAACTCATCCCCGACGAGCTCAGTTTAAGACAGGCATAAACCCCAGCAGAAAATGACACGACCGCCACAGCAATCACCTTCTTGTTTCTATTCAGCTTATCCAACGCAGCAATCACCTTCTTGTTTCTATTCAGCTTATCCAACGTACCAGGGTCCAACCAGCTAATTGGAATCATCTTTCTCATTTCCCTCAACTTCTTCATCTTCGTAGTTTTCTCTTCGATATTCTTCGATTCTTCCTCCTTTACGGGTTCATCTTTACTCTTTCGCGTTTCCTTTCGAGTTGGTTCATTCTGCTTCTCTTTGGTATCTTTTGGCTTCTCCTCCTTTCTATTTTCTTCCTTCTCTTCACGACTAGTTGGCTTCTCCTCTGGATGTTCATGTTTCGCTGCTGCATCTTTCTTGTCCTCCCCGATGCTCTTCGCTTTCTCCTCTTGAGTTGGTTCGTTCTGGCTCTCTCCAGTATCTTTAGTCCTCTCCTCTATATGTTCATCTTTCTTCTCTTCATGCATAGGTGTCTTCTCTTCGATATGTCCTTCATATTTTGCGGCTTCTTTCTTCTCCCCTACAAATTCTTTCACTTCCCTCTTTGGCATAACCAATGTGAGACGTCCATCCTCGAACCTCCCACTGATTTTATCGGCAATCGTGTCTTCAGGCACATCAAAAATCTCATCAACGTCAAGGTACTTGTTTTCACTCACTTGTTTGCTTCCTTTGATTAGCAACTTCCCAGCATTATCAAGCTGGACCCTGATCTCCTCCCTCTTGAAACCTACACAGCACAAACAAAAAATTGAGGTTTTCTTTTGAACTCGCTATCTAGTATTGCTTATGTTTGTCGTAATGCTTACCTGGCAACTGCAAGAGAAGAGTACGACGGGATTGGTCATCGATCCATTCGATGGTTGGCTTGAAATCTTCGTGCGTTGCCCTCGATACCAATGAAGGATGGCCTTTGAAGGTAGGCTTTCTTGATCTCATTCTGTCCATGAGTCTATAGAGGGTTGAAGTGATTCGGATGGCTTGACGCCTTCCAAATGCACTATATTTATAGGCTTGTACTCCTAGTTGGTGTGAAAATGACTTGAATACTTGTTCTAGGCTTGGCTTGTGTTGAGAAATTTCTTGTTCTTCATGGAGAAAGGCAAGGTAGGATTCCTTACTTTTCCGAGGACAGAAAGATAGCTCATTGTGTCGTTTGATTTCTCACCTCTCCTTCTTTTGCTTTGTGTTGGGGGGACAGAGGTTCAAAACCTTCAAAGGTGGGCTTTGTGGGCCTATCTACAAGACCCATTACGTAATTAACAGTCCAGGAACATCAGCATATGTTGTTTAGGTAGAATAAAGCAAAATGATTATGTGGGTTTTGTTTTAACAAATTCAGACAAGCCCAAACATGAATCTAAAAGTGCCCATCATATTAAAAGATACTAACGCAACAGACCAAAGTACAGAGCATAAGCGCAAAAATTGTCATGACTTTTCGGCGAAAAAAAAAGAAACTACAGGCTCCGGCAGAAAATACTGCTCAATAATCAGCCACATCCTCACTAAAGACCATATGTTTTGTTCTGTAATTGTCATATAATTAACTTAGTTCTCTTTCTTGCCTTGCTGAGCATCTCAGCATCTGCAAATACATGATACCAGCTTACAACAGAATGGTTCGCTGCAAGAATACATAGCTGCCCATCAAAAATAAATACCGATAAACAAAAAAAAAAGTCGATTTTCTCACCTGGAGCCATTTTTAAACTCTCATGGATATTGAACTGGCGATTTTGGCTACTCGCTGTCTGATCCACCACCAGAATCTGCATTCATTGCAGAACCCCCACTTTTGTAGCCAACCATGGCTTCCTTGTACCGTTTAGAATCTGCCCGAGCCATTGACTCAAATGGCTCTTTCTCCTCAGCTATTCGCAAAATAAATAATAAATAAATAAATATAACAAATAAATACATAGACTAATGTGCAATTAGAAAGAAAGAGATTGGTAAGGATTGTGATAATTGGATCCCTCACTCTATAGGGAATGCTCTAGGGGAAAAAAAACTTGACAATAACTGTACAAAAACCATCAATCTCATGCCAAAAAAATTGAGTTGAGGCATCAAATTCCTAGTCAATGAAGAAGAGATGCCTTGGTTGACTCGAATAACCTTAACCCTTGTAGAATTATGAATTGATAAGGGTGAAACGATAGATTTTCTACAAGAAATTGTATTCATCTTTAATGATGAGCCATAAGACCAAAAAGAAAGGCACTGACAAAATAAAGGAATTATTTACCAATATGCGCGATGCAAAGAAAAGATTAATAAAATAAAAAACAAGAGATAACTGAATCCATTTGTTTTCTTCATTTCAGTTGGCAAAAACTATCCAGGAAGATCTGATCTGAACTTGAACTAAACCAGATTAAATCCAGAATACAGATTGCACCGAACTTTTCCAAACTATACTAAGTTTCCAATGTTTTTAGCCTTTCTTCCCTTGATGTCGTTTCATGAGGATAATGTTTGCTTATTATTTATCATTATCATTATGGGTTCAGTTTCTGGACTTTATAGGGGTTCATCTCAAACTTCAACAGTGTACCGCATTCTGTAGTGAATTTTATCTGAATATCTGTCAAGTTCAATTTTGCATAATCATGTGGCCAACTCCTTTTTTAAGTTCAACGTGATGCAACCCAACCCCCATCTGGAGTGTAGTTGGCAACCCAGCGCCAGTGAGACAAGCGCTGAACTAGTTGTAAGGCTGCCATTTCCAATGGGCATGAGAAATGTAAGTCTAAGAGCGCTAGGTTCCTATCTGAACTGCATGATATGGGAGCTACACAGTGCCTCGTCAGAACGTGCCCGGCCGGCACAGTGGCGGGAGTTGCTGAGCGCAGGTGATGTGCGCAACCGGCCGGTGGCGCGGCGCGGGGGGGGGGGGGGGTAGTGGGGGGGGGGGGGGGGGGGGGGGGGGGGGGGGGGGCAGTATGGGTATTTTCATGCACCGGCCGCGGCTCCGCAGCTGAAGTATCAAACACACGCCACATTGTTCTGATAGGAAGTGCAGTCGATCTATGGACCTATGAAGAGGCGACCTATAGTGCCCTCCGTCAATCATGTCGTTCACCATCTCGAAACAAAGGTTGATAACCAACAAGTATAATAAGAAGCATAGGCTGTAACAAGCATTCTTCTATAAAAATCGTCTCCTTTGGGCATCCTTTTTTGTTCTTCCATTCATCCCAGTAATAGTGTAGTTTTCTAAATTGGACTCGGTGTCATCAAGAAGAGGTAACAATAAAAGCAATATTTGATTATGTTCAAAAAACTATACCTGTCATCTTCTTCCACTTTTCACCAAGAGCCCTGCCAACATCAGTGAATGACATTCCGGGATTGTTTTTCTTTAGATTCTGCGGACCGCAAGTGAAACAGATCAACTTGTTACAACCAAAATGAAACAACACAAACTGAAATAGATGAGGAAACGAAAAAATTTAAAGCAAAACATATTTCGGTCCCAATATACTTTGTATATCAGAGGACTCGACGCAGAAAAACTGGGGAAACAAACTTTAAAACTGACATTTAATATTTCATGCTGCTGAGGGTACCTAAACTGATGCATCCACTAGCCTTTCCCAGAAAATTCTTATTTTCAAAAAGGAAGTGATGACAGGATCCACTTTCAGAGTTATGCATGTGCAATCTCAACAGATAGCTCACTGCTAAATCAGGCATTTGATAAACATAGGGCTCAGGAACAAAAGAGCAAGACAGTTATCAAATGGGGAGTGTTCTTAGAGTTTAAGTTGGCTGGACAACATGATAATGAAAGATCAGAAAAAGTTGGCTAGAAATTTTTAGGGGAATTTGGAGTTCACAAGATAGGTCTTCCATAGAGGTTTTTACTAGCACATAAATCCAACACCACCGATATTTAAGCTTTTAATGAATTGTTTAATCAGAATGATCAACTGCTGACACCGACCATCCTTGTTTTACCTTCTATAATCTATACACTTACCACATCTCTAGTTGCATACTGAAGTTAGCTATCTATTAATTCAAAAACAAATTATTGTGCATATATCAATCTTTGCTTTGTTTATAGAAAGAGAAGATGTCCAAGTTAGGACACTGAGTTTCAATTCCAAACAAAAACCAAAGAGCATAGCAAAAACATAATGTTCTTGGATAAGAGATGTAAAATTTCCCCCCACAAATAGGACACTTAGCGATACACTAAATCACTAATATAAGGTTAACCATAAACAAAAAGAGTGTGGTGAGTATCACACACGCATGCATGCACACATACACGACGATTAAAAAATTTAAGCTTTTTATAACACATCAAATATCTAGGTATACCCTTTTCATAATAGATAATGCTTGCAACATCATTCAGCAAGCAAAATCTCAAGAGTAAGTATCACAGTAATTGGTAGCTTTAGTAATCAAAAGTGACATCAACAAGCATTTTTCAATATATAGTAAAGGAGGTAGTCTAAGGACAATCTTAAAGAGTTAAATTCAGCTAATTATGCTACTGACTCTAAGGGGGGTTATTCATTGGTGTAATTTGGAGGATAATGGGATAATTTTTGGAACATTACTTTTTGGTGTTATGCATTGGGGTAATTGGAACTGGAGTCAACTTTGTGGTGTTATTGGTTTGTTGGGGTAATTGGGGGACAAATACTCCACTTTCCCCTAAATTACACCAACTATATAAAGATCCCCTCCACCTCTTCCTCATAATTACCCCAAATTTACCCCATCCTCCATATTGGAACAATGTTGTTCCACTTTGAAGGCAATTGGGATAATTTTAAAATATTTTTGTATTACTTAACTAATACATGCTAATTATATTATAAATATATGATATGATATATAAAATATAATATATATTAATATTTTAATAACATAATTTAATAACATAATTTAATAACATATATTAATAATATTATATAATAGTAACTATAATATAATATATTTATTATAATATTATATAATATTTTAATAACATATATTAATAATATTATTTAATATATTATTATATAATATTAATTAGTAATTATAGTATAACGTATTTATTATAATATTATATTAAATTAAATAATATATTATTAAAGTATTATATTATATATATTATTCATATATTATATTAATTATTATATAATGTAGCATACTAATATAATGTTAATTAGTAATTATTGTATAACATATTATATTTTTGTATAAATAAAATAATGTATTATATTAAATATTATATTATTTAAATATTATATTAAATATATTGATATTATATTATATTAATTATTATATATAGTATAGCATGCTAATATAATATAATACAATACAATATAATAATTAATAATAGTAATTTGTAAGTATAGTACAATATATTATATTTTAATATAAAGTAAAATAATATTTATATTATAATAATATACTAAATAATATACTAAACCAATTGGATAAGTTAATTTAGAAGTAATTAATAGATAAAATTATATTTTAATAAGGTGCCACATCATCAATTATCCCACATGAATTATCAAATCAAATGCTGAAATTATCTCATTATCCCACTTTACCCACTTTACCCCACTAAGAGTGAAGAGAAATGTGTGCTGCCTCACCCCTTCACTCAACAAAACCAATAAATAAAAAAGGACTGAAAGATCCCAGCTAGAATTTGCTTCACTGTTCTATTTTCAGATCCTCAGAAATTATAGAACCGATGTGATATTGGAAAGTACAGAAAAGCTGTTGCAAGAAGCAGATCTTTTTTTAGTTATTTACTAAATTCCAGGAAATTTACCATGTTTCTTTCATCATTGTTTGCAAGGTAAGATTCTCACAAAGTCATTTGTAAGGTGACATTATGAGCAAAAATCCATTGCCTACAAATAATCAAAGCCTTTCAATAGAAGATGCGCTGTGCAGCATGACAGAAAAAAAACCAAGTTTTGACCATCTATGAACAATGAACATGATGTCAATTGCTGAGCTGGGTTATATGAGCAAGATCAGAGGATATCATGAAACGTTGGAGGACACATGGATCCAAGGTAGACCTGCTTTGTTCTCTTCACGCAATTTAAATTGTGCAATCAAGAATCAACCCTCCAAATTCCAAGACTAGGAAAAAGTAAGGGACAAGTTACAGTAGAATTTAGCTTGCATTGCAGTGATCAACTAAAAGTGCTCAACTGCAGATAAATCTGGATACGTTTACCACAATAGAAGGAACATCAGAAAAAAAAAAAAGCCATGCTTCTGTTTCCCTCCATCAATGAATAGAGAAAGTGGATTTGGTATAAACCTACTTTTGGATTACCATAAGGTGAAGGAACAAGCATCCGGAAAAACTGTGTTAAATAAGGCTTGAGAAATGAAGTAACACCGGGCCAATCTTAGTCTGAACTGTTCAACAGAGATAGACAAGCCTAAGATCGCTTAAAATTTTCTAACTAGCACGCTCTTATGGAATCTTGTCCAATTTGGTAAGTGAGAGCATAAATTGGAGAGGTTAGACACGCCTAAAATCGTTTAGCTTCTAGCACAATCCCCAGGAACCTTGTGCAAGTTGGTAAACAAGAGAATAAAACTGGAGTGCTGCCAGAATTATTGTTATATATTCCTGGACATTAAAAAAATGATGCTTCATCGAAGTTAAGTTCTCAGGAAAGATATTGAAGAAATGACACTCAATAGACCAGAATTTGATCATTCACCAAAGTTGTTCCTATGGCAGCCACCTAATTCTGTGTCTATGTCCAACCTAACTTCCAGATCATATTAGTAAAATGCAGCCTTTAGTCACATAAACAATACCTGAGAAATGATACCTTATTACTAGGACGGAGAAAATATTTCCAGTTCCAGAAGCTATTTGGTAAACTTGAATCAGTTTAGCTAGACCACAACCCGCAATATTAGATGCATAAAGCTCTAGCTGAAGATGGTTTTGTACTTTTTGTGATAATCTAACAAAGCAAATACACAACACAGATGTCTCAGTATGTCGAGTAAGTTGTATTTAGTTAGGTGGCATGTCAAAGTAATAGGAAAAAGGAGCTCCATAATAGATAGAGCTGCGCCCATTACGACAATAGTTTATGGGTACTAGCCAGGCTTGAGGCTACCAATTATTTAGTGCATTTTCTCCCTAATAGAAGAAAATGAGGAAATTGTGAAGGTTATCCACCTTAGGCCAAAAGGAAAGGATGTGAGTATCCACCTTGCACATTTGAAAAGACGAGAAGTTCGCATAACGGGGTAAAAGGATTAATAAAATTGTTGCCTCACATGTGCTGGTAAGAAACAAAAGGCAATAATTTATCAAGCACATGTGACATACCTCTCTTTCAGTATTCGAGAAAAACATGAAAGCTGACATTGCCCTTTTGGGGGCATTCGGATCCTTTTTCTTCTTTTGTCGCTTCTTTTTTGAACCTTCTTCATCAGCATCTTTGGCTTTTTTCTTTGCTGACGATGCCTTTGCAGCAGAAGCTTCTTTCTTTGACTCCTTCTTTGCAGGTTTCTGAATTTGGAAACCATATTAGTAAAATTTATTGAAAATAGCATATAGAGATCCAAGATCGCATTAAGGAATATCCACATGAAGTCTCCATATTCATAAAAAAAATGTGCTGCTGAGATGACATAATTGAGGGGGAAAAGGTTATTACTTCTTTCTCATTTCCACTTTCGCTAGCATCAGATTCTTCTTCTTCAGAATCATCACTTGGGGAACCACCATCATCCTTGTCAGCAACAAAATCTTCATCCTGCAGAAAATTCTTCTGATGAAAAGATGCTTCAAACTATATATAAAAAAAAAGCAAATAGTAAAAGGAGTCCTAGTGTGCCACACCTCTTCGTCACTGTCCTCACCACCAGCTGCATTTTTAATTCGTTCAAGATGTGGATCAACAGCATCATCATCATCATTCTCCAAAACAGATGCAACACCATTCGTAGTTTGTGTACCACCAAGGTTCATGATTTTCAATCCCTTTCCACTTCATAGGACGAGTTATGTCAGGACATGAGCTCCATTAAGGAAGCCTCTGATGCGGGGAAATGAAAAAACCCCTTACCTAATGAAGTCAAAGAGATTATGATACTCATTCCTCTGAATGTTTCTGAACAGATGTTCTTGATCATTTTTCAATTTTACAAGAAGATCAAAATAGTGAGATGAAACGCTTGACCCTCCAGCACCATGTCGCTCAAACTCAACATACTCGATCTGCACGAAAAGATAACATGCTGGAGCTAATTTCTCGTTTTGATATAATATAAAAAGCATAAAATACTTAAACCATCAGAGAGAAAGAGGGAGGAGGAAGGGCGACATTTTGTATTTTAAGTAACTATCATGAACTTTGTCTGCTCTCTAAAAAAAATACGAGAAACATTATTTGTTCAAGGAAACTACCACAAACTTCCATAACTACTGCTAGAACTACAAGAGAGTTTTCATGATAATTACATGGAATAAATAGTGTTCATGATATTTTCTGAATAAACAGAAAAACTTAATGGCAGTTCATTAAGATATACACGAAGTTCTACACATCACTAATACCTCCTCATGAAGAATGAGAGTAGGCGGCCTTGGCAAAAAGAAGAAGCTCTTCTCAAGTGGATACAATATTCCATCTTCAGCCTTCAACGATGATTTCACAGCATATCCATCTTGACAGCTACGGAATTTCCCTGGTCTTGTAACTTTGGCTCCAGACAAGCCGCGCAGGATCAAAGTGAACACATCATGAATAAGGCCCTAGAAATATTTGCCTATCAAACCAGTTTCATGAAGTAGGACAGCAAAATACATAAAACAGAACAGAAGATAATAAAAGATGCACAAAGACCATCTTCATAAAGACAGCACCCTCAAGTTTGAACGTTCATCGTAAAGCTAGAAAGAATCAGAACATAATTGTGCAAGTTTTATAGAAAACTCCTCCACTTCCTTCTAAACATATCTCTTCTCAATTGTGTTTCTTCTTGAACGTCTATTAGTCTGTTTTGGAGTAATTAGGACAACTGAAGCGCTGTTTCTGATCTTTAGAATGCATTTATTATGACTATGAGACACTGGAGAGCACAAAGTCGGAAGTGTTTGAAGTGTTAGGTAATTGAATGTCTATTTAAGTAATTAGGACAACTAAAGGCCGAAGCACTGCTGCTGATCTTTAGAATGCAAGTATTATGACTATGAGACACTGGAAAGCACAAAGTCTGAAGTGTTAGGTAATGTCAAATCATGTACTTTAAAATGGAAGTCTCTGTAAGGCTGGTGTAATTTTTCAACATAGACATGAAAAATAACATATATGATATGAAAAATGACATAAATTTTATATAAATTTAACTTGCAGTAGATTCATGGGGAAAAAACTTTTATGTTTGTTTGTGAAAGAAAAGAAATATCGTAATAAGAGAGAAGGCCCACTACTTTACCTCTACAATAATCAGAAGTAGAAGAGGGGGATCAATCTATGAACTTCTTTTATTTTAATTAGCAAAGCTTACATTTGTGCATATGCTACAATGTCCTATCATTCAAAAACATTTGACAAATTCTAGACGACTCTGCATATTCAAAGACAGATGCATAGAATCAGCATTGAAAACAATTAAACTTCTAAACATCAGAATGGTTACAAGTTAGTAAGATTAAACCTTGCAGTTTTTTTTCTAACTTACCTTGTATGATGGTTCCAACTTATCCTTGTATTTTGTAGCCAGAAGCTCCTCGTTCATTGACAAAGCACTCTCAATTACAGTGTCTGTTTCAAACTTTACAAACCAGAGGCAAGTGCAACATACCATAAAAGTTAAGTCATAATGCTTGCCAACTGAGCCAAAAAAAAAAGAGGTAGCATGCAGAATTATAAGCACCTGAAGGATGATGTGTGGATACAAAGTCATTCCTTTGCGGATGGGTGGATCAAGTGTAACAACAACAAAGGTATGAGGTTGATTGGACTGCATAAAACACAATGGAGAATGCAAATGAGGCCAACCAGAAAACGGAGACAAAGTTTAGACTAAACCATTGCTACAGAGTAATATGTAGAGTTGATTGCTTACTAGACATTAGACAACTGCTGATGTAACGTAAATAGCAGAATACAATTTCATTAAACAGAAACTTGACATTTATTAGGTTCCGCTGTAGAGAAAGAGCATAACCTTTGGCAGTAAAAATAGCCGGACAACACTGCTATATTGAATCTTGAAATCATTTGCCTGACCTTGAAGCCGGAAGAAGGAAAGATGAAGCTCAACACTGTACCGCCCTCTAAATACACAGATTTGGTTTTAGCTTCTAATAAAATTAGCAAGGCTCTGAAGATGGCATTTATCTTATAAGGTACAGATTCAATTTTCAAGGAAAACACCTAGTTAAAAGTATAAAAGGACAGTTGGAATATGTAATCAGTTTCTTCTCTATACCTTGGTGTAAGAATTGCAATTCCATCAAATGTGACAACAGCCTCATCACTTGATGAGCCAACATCCGCCATGGACGAGATTTTGTCAAGTAGAACCTAAAAGATTAAAAACAAACTAAAAACATTAAATTTATGCCAGTACATCACTCATATCAAGTAGTGGCACTCTGCAAAATAAAAGATACCTGTGCTGGTGCACGATTTTCATCGCCAACATACTGAGTGTTGGAATTAGGTATATGGAAACTCAGATCCATCAGCGAATCCTTCTGAGAATGGAAAAAATAATAAATATGTCAAGAAGAGAAAGTAACTCCGAGTTATATGGAAAATAAACACTATTCCTCAATAGCAAGTTGCAATATGAAGTTCTTCGTCATCTCTGTTAATTCTTTTTTTTTTCAGCAATTCTTATCTTTTTCAGGGAAAATTTCAAGAAATGTTTTTCTTGTATGATTAATCTCTCAAGCAATCAGAAACAGGGGATTCTCTGTAAAGCATTGAATAAGTAAATGTGTGAGGGTTTCTTTTTTTTTTTTTTTTGGTGTGGGGCAGGGGGGTGTTAAACCCGAAGTCTCTAAATATGTGAGGGTTTTTTTTTTTTTTTTTTTTGGTGTGGGGCAGGGGGGTGTTAAACCCGAAGTCTCCATAAGACGCTCCCTTCACTTGATCATTGTTCTTTTGTCACGAATGATAATTCATACTTAGAGGTTTAAACAAACAAATATTAACATAAACAATATTTCTCAAGGAGCAAGTTGCAACGTGAACTTCAGTGTCAAGTCTATTTTATCTATTGTTAAGATTTTCTCTTCATTTTGCTTCTTCAGGGGAAAATTCAAGACATATTTTTCTTATAGGATTGAATTATCTCAAGCAATGAGAACCGGATGTCCTTTGCCAAGTACTAAAGCAAAAATATGGAACTAAAGCTAACAAATGGAGGGAAACCTTAAATAGGGACAGTGGCACTTCCTTAACTTGAATATACATCAAGATTCAAGAATCAAGATTGACAATTAGTATTTGAAAGAAACAAGCATTCAACCACGATCAGAATTTTGTTCTTCAATGTATGAAACAGGATGAAGAAAATCATATGACAATATCAAAAAAGCAGTATCAAAATTTCAAAAAGGGACCACTTAAGATGGAAAAAGAAGAGTATTTACTAGAAAAACATATTTACTTATATTACTAGTCTACTATAGTTTTTCTTACTTGGGGTTTGGCTTTTAAACTTACGCCATAGTCATTTTAATAGGTCAAGCAGGTAATGTAATACATGAGTGAAAAATTGGCATGATTGCGTAACATGATATCTTCTGATGCATGACAAGAATTATTTGGGCCTAAGACCAAGTAACGCAAAATTCTGTGAAAACTCAAAAATTTAGCGTTTATGCCTCCCACGAGATGACCTAAGTAAATAAATAAATAAAAAGAAAGAAATATGTTGGAGGGAAAGACAATTGAGATTGAAGAGATATTGAAGATTCTAGACCAGCATCAGCTTAGAGGAGCAAGCTCTTAGGATAATACTTAAATGGAACTGAAAGATTACGCATAAAGGAACATCATTCAAACCAAACAAGAGGCTAAGATACTGCTCCTACACAAAGTGGTGGTGATAGCAATCTTGATGCATACACTTTTTATTTACTCCTGGTGGTCCACTTAGTGTTTCTTGTTACATGATAATATTACTTCTAGGAACTCTTCATAATCGAACCCACTATAAAGAAAATTGTTCTCTTTCTGGAGAATTTTTTCTGTTCATTGATTAATGAGTCCTGCCCATCAATGCAGAAATATTTGTGCTATAACATCAGTTGTTATGATAGTAAAAATTGAATAAAGTATGTTTTAATATAAATATTAGATTTGTATCTAACCATGCCATAACTTTCTGCATGTATCTCATGGAAGAGAAAAATGTTCACAGTTTTGTTGTCTTCTTACGCAAACAGTATGAAAAGGTCCCAGTAAAGAATATTTAGATTGTGTCAAGACCTGAAATCAGTTTCAGGACCAGATTTTCAACTGCACAATACATAAGAACTAATATAATTCTAGATGAATTTGCAAAGCATGCAACTGAGAGACCTAATAACCTTAACGATACCATACATGAAACTAATTTTCCATGGTATCAACATTATAGAATAACGAGATCTCAAATCTCAGCATCATGTAAATAGCCATTATAAACGGTTCTTGAGGAAAATCTTAGTAACTGTCCATGTTAAACAACAATACTGATTTAAGGGTTTTCATTAAAGCACAACCATTCTGTTTCAAATTTATACCGGCAGAGGCGTATATCAGTCAAAACATTCAGGACTGCATGAACAGAAATAAGGGAATAGGAACAAAAAATCAGTAACTAAACTCTCATAAAACCTAATAAGAAGAAAAATAGAGAGAAAACACTAACATCATTGAATAAAAGAAAAATAGAATAAATATTAAAAAGAAGGCTAAAAAAGACCAGTTTGATCCCCGCACTAGGGCCTCATACCCAAATTGGTCCCTCCACTTTATTTTTTTCTCAACTTAGTCCTCGTATCCCTTGCTAGATGTAATCACAAATTCCATTAAATAAAAATTGTACGAGCAATAATATATTTTCTAGTTTGTTTCATAATAAAAAAGATCAAATATCAGACTAATGACCATGATGAAATCTCGACGGGTTTCTGTAATATAATAACTAGTATTCGTATTTAAAAATTGGCAGCATGGTAGCTTTGATTCTTCTGCTAAAATTATCAAAAAGCCAGTAGGTCCTTTCGCTCTTTGGCTAAAACTAGCCTTTTGCCCGTGCAAAGCACGGATGGACCTTCCTCTCTATTAGTGTAATTCACTCCGTACACCACACTATTATTATACCTACCCCACTTTTCACCAAAACGGTATCTTCCTTGCAAATTGAATCGAAAAGAATATATATATTCTTTTATAAAATAGAATTAATTAGATCCTTTTAGATTAATTTTGCAAAATATGTAATGGAGATGGATGTAATAACCATGTTTAGATTTAGTTGTTTCTTATACTGTAATTTTTAGGTAAGTCATCAATTAATCGTAATCTTATATAGATCAAAAAAATACTACATTATATTGTATTTCAAATGAACAATAAAAGACTGAACTAAAAGTTAAAATTTGCTTTTCTTCTGTGCTTCTTTTCTTAGTAAAAATCAGTAGGAAAAGTTGATTTAAATTTAGTAGTTAAATGAAACTGATATATGATAAAACCTATTTATTCAAATTTTATGATAAAAGAAACAAGTCATTGGTTCCCACATTAAAGGCTTGGACGTCGTACAACATTACTTAGTATATTCCTATATGAGCTAGTGTTTAATAAGGGTTGGCTTTGCATGCAAAATAGGAATAGTTGGTAGTTTGTGCAGTTATGACCATTCCAATTCATGCTGCACATGGGTCGGGTATTAAGCTAGGGTTTTGATTAATCGTACATAAAATTATATGTCCCATAGGATTACTTGGTGATATTGTTCGAATGGTAGATAGGCTTGGTTACATAGATTCAAGGCATATTTTTTATGTTGAACAACAGTGTAATTTATTTATTTTAATATAGTTAACACTCAAAGTTTTGCTTTAGACGTTCTCTAAGTTCATACTACATATCCCTTTGATATAGTGTACTATGTATTATTCCCTTTGAATTACCTTTCTTTTCATGCGCTCGTATCACTTTCTTGTTTGTAATACGTTATATGTTCTCTAAGTTTGTAAATATGCACTTGTAACAATTCCCTTTGATTACCTTTCTTTCCCAATAAAGTTAGGTAGCTACTGAATATATATGCACTTTCCACACAAAATTCCTGCACCTGTTAAAATTTTGGTTAAATTTCACAAAACCACCATGAACTTTGGGGGGTTGTTACACATAACCCACATAAACATTGTTTATCTCATATAACCTCCCTCTACGATGAGGCGTCTTAC